ATTACACAAAGACAGGCTGCAGACCAGTATATCCTTGATTACAACATGCTGTGCTTTGGCTGTTTATGACAGGGTCACTGCATGTATGAACATTATTAGGATGCCCACAGATGCAAACTCACAGCTCTGCCTCCACACAAGTTGCTTGCTGCTGAGTCCTTCCAACCTGTCTTTCCATCATGCTATCTGTTTCAGTGGTGTGCACAGGGCAAATCTTAACTTGAAGGTCAGTTTTATAGGTCAACTCATACAAATTTCATAGTAATTTCATTCCTGGCCTCATTCAGTCTGTGTAGGAAAAGGCTGCATCCCTAAATCTATGGCCCCATAATGCAGCTAGGATTTCTTCAGGCATGTTCTTGTAAAATTTGCGGTTTCACACAAAAACAGCCATTTCCTTTATTGTCCTACCCCAGTTTATGCTTCTGTAAGGCAACCCCAATGCAGCTTCTAATAGTTTGCTTTCATTTTGCCAACAACTGGCACCAAAATCTCATGCTGTGGCTGTGAATATGAGCTGCTTGGTGACAACAAGATTTTGTTTTGCTGACAATTTTACCACAGGTTGGTGTGATTCTGACCATCTCCACTTTGTCAGCTTTTGCATGCTGCTTTTCCACATACAACATGTTACAAACAGCATCAGTGCCTGTATAAATAACATAACGTGACCTCTGCAGCACTGACAGAGACCCAAAGCAACACCAGCATGCCAGAGTACAATTTTTAGTATTTGGAAACTTATAATCTTCAGTCAAACTCAGCTTATCATTTGATTACCAAGGAGCCATGAAATCTAAGATTTGTTGAATCTACAAAAGCAACATTAGAAAGTTGCAGGTGAAAGGCCTGAATTTCAGGGCTTTGTAAATAAAATTGGAAGAGAAAACCTCTTTGAAGGAAGAGCACTGAAAGTTTAGCATCTTTTCATAGTTTGAAATATTAGCATTATCATAAATGTGCTGTCATATTTGCCATAAACTGTCTCACAAATCATGGCACAGATTCTTGACCTTCATAGCTCCAATCATGGAACTATTGAAGGTGAGAAGTGCTCAAACCAATTCAGATTTTAATAGAGTCAAACTGATTTATTGCTGTCTAGGGCACAAAGATGTAGCAGTCATAGAGTGCAATAATTGCTTAGAGGAAATGTGAAACCATGGATGCAAAGGAACCAACCTGCTTTGTACATACACATGTGCAATGCCAGCTGCACTTTTTTCCTCCAAGTGATATTATTCCATTTTTTACGAAATGGAGGAAAGTGCAGTGGCCAAGGAATGAGAGTCAGGCAGGCAGAAATTCAAAATACTGCTACACTCTGGTCCTCTGCTAAGAAGAGGGAGGTTTTTTTTGGCACGAGGAGACATGGGCATTGCCATCTCACAGCCTCAAGTTGTCCAGTTCCTTTTAAGGAACAGTTAATCAAACTCTTTCCCCTTTCTTCCTCCTAAACAGCACTCAAAGCCATTACCAATAATCAGCTACATGAAACATGATTGATTCCCATTTGGAGGAAGCCAGATGAGTTTCTTGCATCAAATGTGGGAAATTAGTCCGTGTGTGTAAAATCCTCTCTGTAGGAAATGACTGACAGCCTAAAGTGATACAGCTGCAAAACATAAACACAGCAGTGCTTTTAGTGAGAGCACTTTAGATAACTGTTATTAATGTCCCTTCCAAGATGTCACTTAGAAAACCACAATCAATTACTATAGTGATAGCAATACTATATATAGCAATTGTATGCAAGTGATGGAGATGCTGGAAACCAGCTATTATTGCTTAGACAGAGTAAAATTCTCATTGTTAACACTCATGTTATAACCACAAACACACCTGCATTTTTAAAAGATTGATGGTAAGTAGCATTTAAATCCTGCCCTCCTAGCAAGGTCAGTCACTGGCTTCTCTTTGTAAATCACTTCCCAGTTTAAAATATCATTTCTTTCCTGGGCCAAAGTACTCTCTATGTGTGTCTTCTAATTCAGAACTAGAGGGAAGGCAGTTGGACAAGCAAGGAAAATGGGAGAGCGGCTGGGGAGGAGTCACTGGGAGCCCTGGCAGAGCCCCAGGAGGCAGTGCTGGGATGGCACCAGCAGCTCAGGAGAGCCTCACGCTGCTCTGGCACAGCAGCTGAGCTGGGAGGTGAACAGCCAGGGCCACAGTCAACTAATTATAGTTATAATGCCAGTGTGTATCCTCATCATGTGGGTAAGGGAGGACAAGAGGCACAAATTTAAGCTGTAGAAGAAACCTTCAGCTCTCAAAAGCTGAAATTACTTTTCAGCATTTAAATATACTTCCCTAATAATACTGGTTTATTACTCTTATGTGGTATTTATGTTGTCTGAATTGCTAAGGGCTCACTTCCCATGAGGAACACAGGAATTAAAACTGAATTAACTCTCCAGTGATGAGTTTAGATTACTAGAGCTTGTGGCGTCTGAGGTACCTGCAGGCAGGCTTGATGCTTTGTTTTATATTTCTCCCTGTCTTCAATTATTGCAGTGATTTTCAGGCAAAATGTTGGCCCTCCTGAGCAGTAGCAGACTTGTAAAGCCAAACTCCCCTGGGTTATCAGTGGTATCCTTTGTCCTAAAGGAAATCTGATGTTTGAATCTGATTTTGTTTAAATACAAGTTAATTAAGGAAAGCAAAAAAAAATTATTTTTCAGAGTATCCTTGAGGTACAGGGAGCAGGTAGAGCACTGAAAGGATTTTCCTTGGGATACATCCGTGTAGGCCATCTGGGGGGAGAACCACAGCAATTCAGGTTTTACTGGATTAAACCTGTCTATATAGGCAGAGAAACCTGTATATAGGCAGTGTAGGGGAATGTCCCAGGGTCATGAAACTTCAGGGCCCCAGAGGAGTGAAGGACAAGCAGAAAGAAGCACTGCTTACATCAAGAAGCATCACAAGATGCCCTGTGTGTGTGCAATAGATTAACAAGTGGTTGTGGAGGAGATGTGAATTCCATGGTATTCCCAGTATCCTTGAGTGTGCTTGTGGGCTGGGGTACACTCACTGAATGATAGTGCTGAGGAAGGGATGTGGATTACAGTTGGGTTTGGTCTGTGCTCCAGGTGTGCAGAGAGGGAGAGAAAGTCTCTTTGTTTCATCCTCTCATTAAAGCATCAGACATAATGAGGGTGTAAACTAAGGAAATGAGAATCTGGCTTGACAGAAAAGAGTCCCATGAACAATTTATGAAGAAGGTTTGAGCTGATATTTTGGCTTTAGGCCTAAACAATCAAATTGACATTTCCATGTGTAGTAGCCACATGAATACTGATGGATGGATTTCCATCTGACTTCTCTAGTCAATTTTCAATAAGCAGGCCTAATATTTCCTCCAAGGCTATTCATAGTTTAAAGCTGCTTAAAGTAGTTTCTGAAGAATGGAGAATGCTTTGGGGGGAAGGCAGTTCTGCTGTTCCTTGTGCAGAATTAAAATTCACATTTTGCTAACCCAGAGACTACAGCAGTCCGGATCTGCTTTTCTAGAGCCTATCCACAAATAGAAGTTTTTATCTAAAGTCTCTATTTTTAATTTTTCCTCATTCAGCTCATTCTGAAATGGCACTCCAGTTTCTGAAGAAGAGCATATGTACACAAACCTAAGCAGTCAACTAGCTTTAAATGCATAATTCCTCATTCAATTTCCTAATTCCTCATTAGCTTGCATGTGCAAACTCAGAGCCTAATCCAACTCCCACTGGTATCAGTGAGAATGGGTTTTACCTCTCAGATTTAGCCATCTAAAAACCAGGCATGTATTCTAAATGCAACTGTGGAGGAGCCACTTGTAGTGAAAATAGAGCAAGATCAGCATTTCCAGGATATGATTCAGAGCATATTCCTTAAGGGTTGTATTGAGAGGGGACAAGTGTATTTCTAGCAGCCGCTATCTTTTTCCCCTGCTTGTAAAGGGAGCCTGTAGAACTAACCTGGAAGCCTCCTTACTCTGATAAATGAAGTCAGGGAAAGAAATCTTTCTGTTTATTTCAGTGGATAAGGATTCTGACTTTCAGTTTTCCACGATAAATTACAAATGAGTAAGCAAGGTCTCAGAGGTCATCCCAAGCTGCATCTCATGGACTGTTAACTCTGGCTTCAGTTAGCATTTGGGATGTATTGAAAAGACATGTGAACTTCTGAAACAAAATTAAACTTTTTATTATTTGTTGTTCCTTGCATCACGCTGGACTCCCTGACAGGGAGCACAATTAGATGGAAATCTCAAAGCAATGGCAGAAGCTTTTTGTCTGTCTCCTCTAAAGACACTCACAGTGGGATATGTGAAATGTCAGGAATAATTAGACAAAACTATATGAGCTCCTAGCAACACTGGTGTGCTGTGTAAAACCAAGCATTTGCCATAAAGCATTAAACATTGTTGAAAACCTGCATGATAAAAGTAACCCGAATAATTTTTAAATTTTTAAGTACCGTTTCTAATACATTAATACAGACATGGATATGAAAAAGCAGAATAGAAAGGTATGAAATGCTGGCATGTCTTTACTCAGGTAGGCTGCTCTGCTGCTTTTTTTCCAAAGGTGATATATAAAAGTAATTGATGCTGCTCATACAGCAATTAAAATGAAGAGACAAATTCCCTCAGCTCTTCATCTGCTGGAGTGTATTTTAACAAGTAGGAAAAGGGCTAGCTCCTGGTATCAGTATCACAAAGATCACAGTCATGTTTGTGAAAAGGAACCTGTGGAGGTCCTTTAGTCCAGCCTCCTACTTTAAGTAAAATCTCCAAAATGAAGAAGGAATAGCCATTTCACATCAGCAGGAAATCTGGCCCAAATTGCCCTTTAGAGAAGAGAAAAAAAATGAACGATGAATGCAGAGAAAAAGCAAGAGAAGAGAAAGGAAAACAGACCAAAATTTTATTTGAGATGACAATATTAGAAATGCAAAACTTTTTTACCAAAAGGTGGGATTATCCTAGATTGACTAACAGATGTGTTTTTATCTTCTAGGAAAACAATGAACAATTAATTTCTTCTTTCCAGGAAGAAACCTGGAAGCTTTTTTGCTGCTCCGTTGAATATGGGATTATAAAAAAGTTTTTAAAATTGCACATAGAGCATCTCTTTCAAATGGATAACTTCTGAACCTGGAACTCTTCATTACCAACTTCTTACATCCTGGAGGGGAAAATGAATTTCACAAATTGCACCACTGAAGCCAGTGAGGCTGCAAAGCCAAAGACAGTAACTGAAAAGATGCTCGTTACCCTGACCTTGGCCACAATCACAACCTTGACTATGCTGCTGAATTCTGCTGTAATTGCAGCAATCTCCACAACCAAGAAGCTCCACCAGCCGGCAAATTATCTCATATGTTCACTGGCTGTGACAGATCTCCTTGTTGCTGTTCTCGTCATGCCCTTGAGCATCACTTACATAATGATGGATAAATGGACTCTGGGGTACTTCATCTGTGAGATCTGGCTCAGCGTCGACATGACCTGCTGCACGTGCTCAATCCTTCATCTGTGCGTCATCGCGCTGGACAGGTACTGGGCCATCACAGACGCCATCGAGTACGCCAGGAAGAGAACGGCAAAAAGGGCCGGGCTGATGATAGTCACCGTGTGGACCATCTCCGTTTTCATATCAATGCCCCCCCTGTTTTGGAGAAACCACCGCAGCGTCAGTATTCCCAGCGAGTGCCGCATTCAGCATGACCATGTCATCTACACTATTTATTCCACATTCGGGGCATTTTACATCCCCTTGACTTTGATCCTGATCCTGTACTACAGAATTTACCACGCTGCAAAGAGCCTTTACCAAAAGCGGGGTTCAAGCCGCCACCTCAGCAACAGGAGCACCGACAGCCAGAACTCTTTTGCCAGCTGCAAGCTCACACAGACGTTCTGCGTCTCGGACTTCTCCACGTCTGATCCAACCACAGAGTTTGATAAAATCAACGCATCCGTGAGGATCCCTCCTTTTGAGAATGACTTGGACCTGGCTGGCGACCGGCAGCAGATCTCCACGACACGAGAACGAAAGGCTGCTCGCATCTTGGGGCTGATTTTAGGTGCTTTCATTTTGTCCTGGTTGCCCTTTTTCATCAAGGAGCTGCTTGTGGGCCTCCACATTTGCACTGTCTCTCCAGAAGTAGCAGACTTCTTGACCTGGCTTGGGTATGTCAACTCGCTCATCAACCCTTTGCTGTACACGAGCTTTAACGAGGATTTCAAGCTGGCCTTTAGAAAGCTCATCAGGTGTCGAGAACATACTTAAAAGTACTGAGAGATGATGATGCTGGCATGACTCCTGGCCTTAAAAATGAGCAAAATGATTTGACTCTGCCACTGTTTCCCTTGATAAAGGGGATTTTTGTGTTTGCGTATCTTCTTGACTGTTCTTCAGCCTGTAATTCATTATGCCATTTTTTAATCTCTAGTGAAATTCGTAGTAAAAGGTTTGAAATAAATTTATTCTACAAAGGAAAAGATTTTTTAGAAATGCAACAACAAAAAATATCACTAGTATTAGGTACTCATGTCTCTAAGACATTTTGTGTAATCAATGATTCAAGAAGAAAAAACAAAATTCACTTTTATACTTTTTCCATTTAAGAATCAAACATCGAAATTATGTACTGTATGAACTAAACCCCATAAATACATATTCAAAAATTAATAAACACTTCATGATCATGACAGCTAAACAGCATCTCTTTACTACAGCGTTGTGAAAAAGCTGTAACAGCCATTTAGGAGGAAAATTACCACCATTTCCACCTTGGGTTGAGGCAGAGTAAACTATTCCTTTTTTCAGAAATACACTCCCAAAACAGAAAGCAAAGTTCAGTTCATTGCATCTAGAAATGATCCCATTTCATAACCCAAAGGCATTTTTTAAAGTGTCTCTCTTTGTGTAATATTCCAGATTTACATTCAAGGTATTGGGCAGACAGCTGTGAGGTTGTTCTGCAATTGAGAGGATGCAGCTAGCAAGTGTCATATTTGTGAAACTAACTGCACATCTGGGCAGTCACACTTCCAATACCACTAACCCTATTTCTTCAGGCCTTGTGCCTCAGTCAGTTCTGGGGTGGTATTTTTCACTTGTGCCACACTTCACCTGAATGTTGTGGTGCACAACCCCAAGGATCTATGGATCTTACCCCCACCAAGTCAGACAACTGGATATCGTCTCAGCAGGCCAGCTATATACAGAAATTCAAAAATATCAGTTAAACCTAATTATTTCTGAATATCAGGGAAAAAATCAGTAAAATAATTTATTTTAAATAGCAGTCTGCACATATGCCTTGTTCTCATCTCAGAATTTCCAATGGCCATCTTGCCCACCTAACCTATGGTCATGTGCTCTGGTAGGATTTCTTGCTCTGGGAGTCCTTCACAGACCTATTTCCCTTGTCCTGAGAGACAAAAAGTCCTTTGTATCCTATCTTTTCTGCTTATGGAAGTTAAAATTTTCTGATTCAAATGAATTGTGGAAATCAGTCTGGGAAGAGGCAAAATCAAAGCTGAGAATTTGGTATTGTCCATTTGAAACTCCTAAGCATGATTTAAATATTTATTACCACCTTGCACCCTTTTCTTCCCTGTCGATTTTTCTGGACAAATTCTTTTTGAATTACACCAATACACAACAAAGGCAACACCACATATGTCAACCTGACATCCAATAACTGTGAAAACTATAGTATGGCAGCTCCAAATCCATCAAAACAAATACTAGAGGTAGCAAAAGTGTTGTAACAGCACTGGAAGCCATCTCTGAAAAATGTTTTGGAAATTTACAAGATGACAATCATTTTTCTTATCAAGAGTCAAGGAAGTGTAAGTAATATGTGGGTAATAAACTGCAAATGGAACTGGGAAATGACATCCTTATTGGTGAGAGAAAGCATTTGGCTGGAAAGACGCAGTGCCACAAGCTGAGTGCAAACCAAGTCTGAAGGTGACAAAAGGGTGACCTGCTGCTTACCCACATGCAGTGGGATTCTTCTTCCAGGACTCCCTGCCTGAGTTTGAGGTCCAACTCCAGCTGTCCTTCTGAAGCTACTGTTGCAGTTGCCTCCAGCAGATACCTTTGGATTCCCTACTAGCAAACAATAATACCTAAAAAGAGAGGAAAATTATGTCAGCCACTAAAAATTTCTTTTAGTGAGGAAGTACAGATATCTGTTATGGTTTTTCCTTTTTGCAGCTTGTTGGAGGTGGAAATTGTTGATTGGAATCAGGGAAGTGTGTCCTGACCCTGTCTATCAACAAAGCTTCCAAAGCAGCTCCCCAGGGTTGATATGCTACTAAGAAAAAAGAAAAAAGAAAAAAAAAAAAAAAAAAAAAACCAACCAAAAAAAACCCACCCACCCTGGAAATTAAAATAAAAATGTGGTATTTGTAAGAAGTGCTGCAGTATATTTTTTTTCTTTCAGAAAGAACAACAGAATTTATTATTAAAGAACAAGGATTCAGCACAATTTCTGAAATGGCAGAGAAAACGGGACACACAAGCAGTTATGGCTAGAAGAGAGTAGATTTTGGTGTCCCTTAGGTGCACAAGGGTGCCCAGCTGCTGTGATAACCAGAAAGGGAAGAGTGAAAGTGCAAGACTGCCCCAGCAGACTGTCTGAGCCACCCCAAGGAGCTCAGCTGAGGCAGAAGCTGCACCCAGCCAGGTTCTTTGGGGCTGTCTCTGGCTCAGCTGTGGGATGGGTGGGCTGCACAGGGCTCTTTGCTAGGAGAAGGAAGGGGTGGGAGTGACAGTGCTGGTGAAAGGTGTTTCAGAGGAGAAAACCAGCAAAATGAGAGATGCTTCCAGTTCTGACAACAGCTCAGTCAACTCTGTTGCCAAAACTGACACTCATTTAAACCCCTAAGTGTGACTGAAGGGCTGGAAATGCTGACTGTGACCTCCACAGCAGCTGCCATAGGCAGGTAGCAGTGCTTCAGAAACAGGATGAAAGCTGTAATGTAGAGGAGCTGCATCATCTTTATTTCTACTAAAGGATTCCTTTTAGTATGTGAACACTGTTATTACCACTCCAACTACCAATCAGGTTGAAGGCTGTATTCAATTTTAATATTTAGAGGTAATTAACAGGAAAAAACAGATGGATGGCTAATTTCCGTGCTTTCCTGTTAAATAAAGACTCACCATTCACTGCCAGCTGACTACTGATTTTCTAATTAAGTCATTAGCTAAACACAGAGAATGTTTTCCAACAAACGCCACTAGATTGATGAAGATGTATGTTTTCCCCATGATCAGAACCAAAGTCAGAAACAATATAAAGGATTATATAGGATATAAAGGATATAAAGGATTGGCTACTTAACTCAACTTGATCAGAAATTACCAGTTTTCCCATGAAAATGAAAACTTTTGCTAGTCTGACACCACTGTTTGGCAACATCTTTTCTTTTCTTTTTTTTTTTCTGTTGAGTTTTTGCTGCCTTTACAATGGGTTTGGAGACATTTTTTGATGTGTCCACGGCAACTCCTCATTCACACCTATCCTGGATCAGGCCCACTCACTCCATGTTGTGCAATAGAAGATCTTTCCAACAAGCTCTTAGTGATGTATTCAAGACCTACAGACTACCTCCATCTTCATCAACCTCTCTAAATCATCCTGCAACCTCAAAGCCTTATTTTCTCTCATGGTACCCTTGCAAAGGTGTCTTGCTGTACAACCCTCACTTCCTGCCTGTCCTGCCTTTGGGTTTCTGACTCTGTCTAATCCCTAAATTTATTGTGGTCCTACTGGAGCAAGCCCCTGTTCTCCTCTCCTCTCTCTGCAGTTATTAGAATTCCCATGATTGTGGCAGTTCAAGTCTGCAAGATTTTACTGTCTTACATGTATCCAGGCCATTTCCCGAAGATTTTTACTCTCTGTAAGCAGCCAGTGCTTTGGAGTGAGTCCAGCATAAAATGCCACTCCCTCTTCTCCATCTTTCTAACATCTCTCACTCTCTCTGGTCCAGACCTTCATCACTTGCTCATATTCTTCGTCCTCCTCCACTCTTATCTCTCGTCTAAGGAAGGGTTAATGTTCTGTGAAGTTTTCATTGTCCAAAAAAGGGTTAAAAACTCCTCCAAGTGGCTGGACTCCTGGCTGCACCCCCCCCCCGCCACCATCTCCTCAGCCGGGCTGCCTGCTGCCAGCACATGTTTACTGCTTTCAAGGTAACGGCACACAAACACCGGCTGCACCCTCTTCTGTCTGTCTCCAAGGTGGGGGGGAGGGAATAGGCTGCCCATTGCTTCCCGGGTTCTTTACTTCTTCCTTCCACCCTTGGGGGGGGGCCAGGCCTACCTCTCCCAGGCGGGGCCGCATGGCTTTTCCCCTCCCCCAGCCCATCCAGCAACTGGGCCGGGGGAGAGACTCAAATCCTTCACCGCCGGAAATCCAAAGAGGAACTGCCAGGAGGAGAGCCCTGCTTTTACCCTGTGTTCTCGGAGGTGGACCCAGTGCCCAGTGGTTAGGCCAGGTGGCAATATTCAAATCTGAGCACTCATTGGCCCCATCCACACAGCATCCCAGAAATCCTGTTTCCGGGTCAAACCATGACACCCTTGTATTGTTCTTATATGGACCATTATCTTTGCTTTTAGGGACCTGCCCCTGCACAGGTTACTCCGGTTTCACTCAGCTCCTACTCTTCCACCTGTGCCAACCACAACTCTCTTCTCTGCAGGGTTTGTCCTCACCACTTCCATGAACTTTCCACATCTCACATCTTTCCTGTTCCTTGCAGCTAATGGGTTTTTTCCCTTCTCAAAACCATTTCTGATATGGTAAAACTCCTGAAAGAAAAGCAGTCAAACTCCTGAAAGAAAAGCTCTGTGTGTGTGTGTGTGTGTGTGTGTGTGTGTGTGTGGTGTGTGTATTGCCTGTCTTTTTTTCTCCACCTTTCCCATGCAGATCACATCCTCTTCTGAGGTGAGCTGTCTCTCTGAAGTGCACAGCATACACAGAGACAGCAAAAACACATTGAGAGTTGCATATGTCCTGAGCCACTTTGATTTGGCACATGCACAGTACTTTAAGGTTGTCGGTTCCTCACCACAATGATGTACCAAGTTGTACCAAGATAATTTGATTTATCCAAGACAAGATATTAAAAGAATAAAGGAATCTTTTTTAAGGACTCTATTTCCACTCCTGTGTTTTGAATTCCAGTTATCAAAAAGTAAAGAGCATTAGAGTGTTGAGGGGAAATATAAGCTTCCAGCTTAAGTGCAGAGATAGTCCTTGTGCCTGGGTATTGTTTAACTATTGCAAATATCAATAAGAGACAAGCTGGTTTATGTTAATCCTTTACACACCCAAATGATTTCTATGAAGAATTATCTCAAATTGCTTTATTGCTTAAGTAGGCACAGTAAATCTTGTAATATATTTTATTATTCAAGTAGTATTTCATAAGAGTCCTGCACAATATATAGTCACCCTTTCTAATTACTGTTTTTCACTTGGGGCCAATTTTTTTTTTTTTTTATTATCTGACTTTGGATAAATTCCAGCTTCATCAGCTGTAAAATTATTCTTCAGCATTCTCAATTTTACTCCGTGTACATTTGCAAATATTGCTCCCTTCCTCTCTTATACTGCCAGGGGATCTTTACTTCTTCATTAATCCCATGCAGGTGATCGCCTATGGATGATGTTATATGATTAAATTACTCCTTCCTACTCAGCTAATTTCTATGCTTCTATGAATCAGTGCTTAAATATAAATTTTTGATGCTGCTGCTGTGAGTAGAAGATGTAACTATGAATGAGCTGTGGGAAAAAAAATCACGATTAGAAAATTATATTAACATCTTCTCAAAAACCTAAGGGAGAGAGACTCATTTCAATTTTTTACCTTCTTAATCACTTTTCTTTCCTTCTCATTTCACTGTTTCCTGGCCTGTGAAGCCTGTTTGTTAACTTTTTCCCATGTTTATCTTTTTCTCCTTCTTTTCCTTGGCAGCCTTCGTCAGCACCACAGAGGCATCTGGTAACCTATAGCAAGAAGCAAAGCCACACTGTGCTATGTTGATACACATCACCTAAACATCTACTCTTGGTTTTAGGAAATCAGGCTGCAGGCTCTGTTCTATGGCACTGTTCTGCACAGCCTCTACTTCAGCTTTACTGCAGTTTTACTACAAAACATATTTCTAATGTGCATCGAGATTGCTCTAAGTGAAAGATGCTTGTATTAAACCATGGTTTTTTCCCATTTGTCACAATTTTTGAAGACATCTTTATAATAATTCCCCCTCTCTTCTTCTCACCCATGGGGCTTCTATCAATAAAAACTAAAGCCACAGCTAGCATGGTTTCCAGATGCAGGAAGTGGTGCTGGAAATGCCCACTCCACTCCTCCCACTGCCCCTCATATTTTGCAGTCTTCCAGTTGTTTCCACTGCATACTTAAAACACATTAGCATATAGAGCAGATTTCTGACGTTTTTGTGGGTTAATTTCCTGCATGATGGATTCTGAGCCTCGTTTCTATCTGGTGCAGGAACCCTTATCACTGGGGTACTCAAATTTTCTAATGTACTGCATCTCCCATATTCATTTTGTACACCACATGACTGCAGACAGCACACACTTCTATGAGGTGGGGCATAAAGCACCGTCTCCTTGCAACTACACTTTATAAAAGATGCATGTTTTGTCAATTAAGAAGTAAAACATAACTTTTGGGAAAAGAGGGGACAGAACTCCTATTCATTTGTAAATTGTTTTGTGCACAATTTGAAATGACTTCTGGATATTAGTTTTTAAAAAGAGCACCAAGAAACAAAACAAAAAATACCACATGCGTGCCTGAACAACCTGCAACATGAAGAGTGACCCTCCAGTGGATTTTACAATAAAATATTGTTTCTCTCCAAATGACATTTCCAAGGGAATAAAAAGTTCCACACAAAGGACTTTCACCTTTGTAATACACAAGAAATATTACCTCAGTCCTTTGTAGGAGGAACAGCCCTCCAAGCTGCTAGACTGCTGGGTTAAGCCTCACCAAGTTTATTTCTTCAATAAATAGAAAATGAGGCTAACACCTTCAGCTTGAGAGTTTTAAATTGAATTGACCACTAAAATAAAGTCTATCAGCTAGAGTTTTCCTTTTGTTCATACATGTTTCAGTTCAATTCCTCATTTGTTTATTGATAAGCCTGCATATGAGAAATTAAAATAATCACTTTTTAAATTCAGAGTAGCAAGTAAATACTCTCGTATTTTTCTGATTTCAAAACATTTGTGTATTATGGCTGGACAGTTGTGTTGAAGCTGGCAGAAAGAAAAAAAT